GTTAGTCCCCAGGGGTCATCCCGAACCCCTGCCATTTGAGAAAGTTCTAATATCTTGTAAATGGTCGAGATCCCCACCCTTAAACCATATATATACTGGTTTGTCATGATAAAGCACATCAAATGAAAGACAGGGTTAGTCCCCAGGGGTCACCCCCACCCCCTGCCATTTAAGAAAGTTCTAATATCTTGTAAGTAGTCAAGATCCCCACCCCTAAACCATATATATTCTGGTTTGTCATGCGAAGATGGTTTGAATGATATACAGGGTTAGTCCCCAGGGGTCACCCCCACCCCCTGCTATTTAAGAAAGTTCTAATATCTTGTAAGTGGTCAAGATCCCCACCCCTAAACCATATATATTCTGGTTTGTCATACCAAGATGGTTTGAATGATATACAGGGTTAGTCCCCAGGGGTCATCCCGACCCCCTGCCATTTGAGAAAGTTCTAATATCTTGTAAATGGTCGAGATCCCCACCCCTAAACCATATATATACTGGTTTGTCATGATAAAACACATCAAATGAAAGACAGGGTTAGTCCCCAGGGGTCACCCCCACCCCCTGCCATTTAAGAAAGTTCTAATATCTTGTAAGTAGTCAAGATCCCCACCCCTAAACCATATATATTCTGGTTTGTCATGCGAAGATGGTTTGAATGATATACAGGGTTAGTCCCCAGGGGTCACCCCCACCCCCTGCTATTTAAGAAAGTTCTAATATCTTGTAAGTGGTCAAGATCCCCACCCCTAAACCATATATATTCTGGTTTGTCATACCAAGATGGTTTGAATGATATACAGGGTTAGTCCCCAGGGGTCATCTCGACCCCCTGCCATTTGAGAAAGTTCTAATATCTTGTAAATGGTTGAGATCCCCACCCCTTAACCATATATATTCCTGTTCATCATGTCTCGAACATTTGAATGGCGTATAGGGTCAGTCCCCAGGGGTTCCCCCCACCCCCAATGTTCTAGTATCTTGTAAATGGTCGAGATCCCCACCCCTAAACCATATATATTCTGGTTTGTCATGCCAAGATCATTTGAATGATATACAGGGTTAGTCCCCAGGCATCACTAATGCATATAACTTTACTGGACCAAACCAATTTTCACTGGACTTTGTCCAATGTCAGGCGACACTGGGAATTACGAATTATGGGAGCTTCGTTTGGGAGACTTCCTAACAGCATCCTGTTACAATCATTTCTTGTTCTTATTATATTGTGATGATTTAATGATTAAAGAAATCAAGTGAAGCTAATTAACTAATTAAAATAATTCTAACTCTTAATTGTCACCCATTTACCTGTCACTGATATTTTTCACACCTATAGTAAATATGTAAATGCTCTTTTGTTCCGACGTTGGAAAGTTCCGGGAGGAAAGAACTAACTAGCCGAAAAGTTCCGGAGGAACTTATTAACTAGTTACTTTGTTCTTCCTCTGGTTTAAAAGTTCCACCGGAACAAAGTGACTAGTTGAAAAGTTCCAACGGAACATATCAACTAGTTAGAAAGTTCCTTTTTGCCAAATTAGTCAAAACCGGAACTAACAAACTAGCCCAAAAGTTCCAACGGAAATTATCAACCAGGCAGAAAGTTCCATTTGGAGAATTGATGCAAAGTAAAAGCGCAACATATTATATTTGAACCTTTCAAAGGGAAACCAAGATACTGATTACAAAAGTCAAAAGGAACTTATCAACTAGCCACAAAGTTCCTCTTTGGCAAATAAGTCAAAACCGGAACTAACAAACTAGCCCAAAAGTTCCAATGGAACTTATCAACCAGTCACAAAGTTCCATTTGGAGAATTGATGCAAAGAACCACATGAGGAGGGGGGTATTCTTCCCTCTCTTGAGGGTAATATGAATACTTAATTTGCATGATAATGCAACTTATTCCGTTTTATGTGAGCTATGAAATACAACTTAAATTTTGCATATTTGTCCCCAAAGAAACCCCTTTCAGTGCGTTGGGTATTCTTGTAAATTAATGATTTGCTCTCGTATATACTGATACTCATTCTTCTCCCTCTTTCTACAAAAAGGACGAAATATGGTATATTCGGAACGATGTAACTAGTTGTTCTATTCCGCCAGAACTATTCAATTAGCTACATTGTTCCGGGACTTTTCAACTAGCTACTTTTTTCCGGAACTTTTCGACTGCACTCCGAATAAAACAACTAGTTGGAAAGTTCCATCCGAACGAAATAACTAGTTGAAAAGTTCCACCGGAACAAAGTAACGGACGGAACATAGTGGCTGTTACAAATACACTCTTTGTCTCTTAATTATGGGGTATTAAAGGATTATTATTTATTATTATTATACAGTATTTATAACAGCGCATTATATAATATCAAAAAATACCCTAAGCGCTTTACAACATATTCACACACATATATAAGCATTAACAATAAAATATGAAAGCCCAATGTTATGAGATCCTTAAACAAACATATTTAAAATAAATGGCATATAAAACTATACTATTAAATTTACTGATCAACAATAAAATTTATATAAATGGGCATGGTAAAATAAAGGAGACATTGAACCCGTACAAATAAAAATAAATTAAAAATATTTGCTTAAAAAATTCAAAAAATATTTGCTTAAAAATTAAAAATTCAAAAATTACAGCGATATAAAATATTTTAAGAACTATGAAAAAGCATGTCTGAATAAATGAGTTTTCAGGTGTTTCTTAAAAGCGTTCACAGAATGGATGTTCCGTATATCACTTGGTAAATCATTCCATAGAACAGCTGCTGCTTTGTCGAATCTCCTTTCCCCATATGTTTTAGTTCTCACACGTGGTGTTGTTAAAATCATGGCATTTTCAGATCTGAGAGTTCGCATTGGTTTATATATATTACTGAGTTCTTGTAGGTAGACCGGTGCCTCCTCATGCAAAGCCTTGAACACATAGACGAGGAGTTTATATTGGCATCGGTATGTTACGGGGAGCCAATGGAGAGACTTTAGGATTGGCATTATGTGGTCGTATTTCCTCCTCCTTGTAATGACCCTGGCTGCTGTGTTTTGAACTCGCTGTAATCTTTGAATAGTAGTTGATGGGAGTCCATACAGCAATGCGTTCCCATAATCCAAACGAGAGGTTACAAGGGAGCATACTAATGTTTTGCATGCTTCTTCGGTAACAAATGGACGAATTCGTCCAATGTTTCTTATCTGATGAAAACATGATTTTGAAACAGCGCTAATTTGTTTGTCCATTGCCAAAGTTTTCTCAAAATAAATGCCTAGGTTTTTTACGCACTCAGTATCACTGACAACGTTTCCACCAAACTTGAGATGCAAGTCTGAGAGGTTCTTCACTCGGTTTTTTGGAGCAAACACTAAAAGCTCAGTTTTGTCCTCGTTTAATTTTAGCAGATTCGAGCACATCCACTTGCTGATGTCAGCTACGCAAGCCTCAAGTCGCTTTGATATATTTGTCCAATTATCAAGTGGTTTAAACACAAGATAAACTTGTGTGTCGTCTGCATAACAGTGATAACACATATTATGTCGTTTACATATTTCACCAATTGGTCTTGCGAAAATGCAATAAAGTTTTGGTCCCAAGACCGATCCTTGAGGAACACCAAATAGAAGACGAATCTCATCACAGAAAGAACAGAACCAATAGCGATTCGCTGAGTCCTCATCTCGAGATATGACTTCAACCAACTAAGTGCTGTACTGGTTATCCCACAAGAGTATTCCATCCGCTTTATGAGAATAGAATGATCGAAAGCAGTCGATAGGTCTAGCATGAGTAAAACGGCACAACAGTCGTTATCAAGTGCAACAGTGATGTCATGATGCACACGAAGTAATGCTGTCTCGGTCGAATGACACGCACGATAGGCTGATTGTACATTGTCGTGAAGAGAGTTTGACGTATGATGGTTTTCAAGGCGAGTCTCGACGACTTTTTCGACCACTTTGGATACGAACGGAAGATTAGAGACTGGTCGATAATTTTTCAATATCTCTTTGTCTAGACCAACCTTTTTCAAGAGTGGTCGGACAACTGCCTCCTTGAAAGATGATGGTACACAACACTGTTTATTTGCCATTATATTGGCTTGTCAATCACCACTGTAATTTTTGTTCACCTGAGACATTTTAATGAAGAATATTTCAATCTTGGGAAAAAACTTAAAATTATTTTTATTATCATATGATTGATAAGTATTGTATTGATATCATGATTTAACAATAATAACACAATAACTTGGTTGACTACATCCTTTTACATATTTGGTATATTGTTACCTCCTTTTCATTTCTGGTTCTTGGCTCTTCTTTTGGGTTTATACACAAACCATGTGACCATAAAAAATCAATACACAAAAAGGAAACAGTGGGAAATTCAACACGAATTGGCAGAAAATGGTAATCAAAGAACAAATAAAACACAAAGACAGTATTGTAGTCATTTATTTTCAACAAAAACTTTTTATTTAGAGATTTATGTAGGTTTTGCTATCACCAACGTTGTTTTGACCAGGAAATGTCACACCTGACCACCTTTCTTGAGCTTTGATTTTTCCAGTGGTCGCTGGATCTCGCCTATTAGTCGGTACCCCTCTCTGGATTATGAATTTTACTCCCAAACTTCCGTCTAATAGGCGAGTAGGTACTGTAGTCACAATATCCACAGGTAACCATCAAAATTAAGAGCTCACTGCAAACCATATGATGAAATGTGGCTAACATAGAAATTTTAAACATTTGTAATTTGTGTTTGGCTCACTGAAATGTTGGAGGCACATGTCAATTGTAAATGTAACTGTATGATAAATAGCTGAAAAGAATATGTTAGAAAAACATAATTTGTTGACAAGTTGAGTATGTGAGTATTGTTACAAATATTGTATTATATTTCTCATCTTTGAGTTTACTCATTTTTCATGATAATCTATGTCCATCGTACATCTACTCTACAAATACTTATTTTTCTTTTCTTTTATTTTCAGAAATGGGTAGACGAGGCAGAAGACAAGTGCTACAATTAGGGGATAGTAGCGATGGATTTCTGGGTATGCATATTGAAGGTTTTGTCAATTTTGAAATTAGAATTCTGTACAAATTTTGCAGGGTTATTTAATTGCAGCTCATATTTTCTTGTTCTTTTGATATTTTCAAGATTTACATTCTGGAATGGGGGATTAGTTCCTTACTGTCCTGATAATGGAATGGGGGAATTAGTTCCTTACTGTGCTGATAATGGAATGGGGGAATTAGTTCCTTACTGTCCTGATAATGGAGTGGGGGAATTAGTTCCTTACTGTCCTGATAATGGCATGGGGGAATTAGTTCCTTACTGTCCTGATAATGGAGTGGGGGTATTAGATCCTTTCTGTCCTGATAATGGAATGAGGGAATTAGTTCCTTACTGTCCTGATAATGGAGTGGGGGAATAAGTTCCTTACTGTCCTGATAATGGAGTGGGGGAATTAGTTCCTTACTGTCCTGATAATGGCATGGGGGAATTAGTTCCTTACTGTCCTGATAATGGAGTGGGGGAATTAGTTCCTTACTGTCCTGATAATGGAATGGGGGAATTAGTTCCTTATATAGTCCTGATAATGGAGTGGGGGAATTAGTTCCTTACTGGCCTGATAATGGAATGGGGGAATTAGTTCCTTACTGTTCTGATAATGGAATGGGGGAATTAGTTCCTTACTGTCCTGATAATGGAATGAGGGAATTAGTTCCTTGCTGTCCTGATAAAGGAATGAGGGAATTAGTTCCTTACTGTCCCGATAATGGAATGGGGGAATTAGTTCCTTACTGTCCTGATAATGGAATGGGGGAATTAGTTCCTTACTGTCCTGATAATGGAATGAGGGAATTAGTTCCTTGCTGTCCTGATAAAGGAATGAGGGAATTAGTTCCTTACTGTCCCGATAATGGAATGGGGGAATTAGTTCCTTACTGTCCTGATAATGGAATGGGGGAATTAGTTCCTTACTGTCCTGATAATGGAAATTAGTTCCTTACTGTCCTGATAATAGAATGGGGGAATTAGTTCCTTACTGTCCTGATAATGGAATGGGGGAATTAGTTCCTTACTGCTCTGATAATGGAATGGGGGAATTAGTTCCTTACTGTCCTGATAATGGAATGAGGGAATTATTTCCTTATGTTCTGATAATAGAGTGGGGGAATTAGTTCCTTACTGTCCTGATAATGGAATGGGGGAATTTGTTCCTTTCTGTCCTGATAATGGAATGGGGGAATTAGTTCCTTATTGTCCTGATAATGGAATGAGGGAATTAGTTCCTTACTGTCCTGATAATGGAATGGGGGAATTAGTTCCTTACTGTCCTGATAATGGAATGGGGGAATTAGTTCCTTACTGTCCTGATAATGGAATGAGGGAATTAGTTCCTTACTGTCCTGATAATGGCATGGGGGAATTAGTTCCTTACTGTCCTGATTATGGAATGAGGGAATTAGTTCCTTCCTGTCCTGATAATGGAATTGGGGAATTAGTTCCTTACTGTCCTGATAATGGAATGAGGGTATTAGTTCCTTACTGTCCTGATAATGGAATGGGGGAATTAGTTCCTTACTGTCCTGATAATGGAATGGGGGAATTAGTTCCTTACTGTCCTGATAATGGCATGGGGGAATTATTTCCTTATGTTCTGATAATGGAATGGGGGAATTAGTTCCTTACTGTCCTGATAATGGAATGGGGGAATTAGTTCCTTACTGTCCTGATAATGGAATGAGGGAATCATTTCCTTATGTTCTGATAATGGAATGGGGGAATTAGTTCCTTACGTTCCTGATAATGGAATGGGGGAATTAGTTCCTTACTGTCCTGATAATGAAATGAGGGAATTAGTTCCTTACTGTCCTAATAATGGAATGAGGGAATTAGTTTCTTACTGTCCTGATAATGGAATGAGGGAATTAGTTCTTTACTGTCCTGATAATGGAATGAGAGAATTAGTTCCTTACTGTCCTGATAATGGAATGAGGGAATTAGTTCCTTCCTGTCCTGATAATGGAATGGGGGAATTAGTTCCTTACTGTCCTGATGATGGAATAGGGGAATTAGTTTCTTCCTGTGGAAATCAATGAAATATGAATAGCAACCCAACATTCAATACTAGAAGACTTCTGAAGGTCATAATACAGTCTTTTGGCCATAAAGAGTACCTTTTTCTTTAAACTAAAAATTTGTTTCAAACTAAATTATGGAAAAAAGAGAGTACCTAGGTTTTAAAAAATCATGAAATCCATAAATCTATTGAATTTAAAACCAACAGAAATGAGGACAGCATATTTTATTCAGATTAGTGTTGTAAGAAAATAAATCCTATTGTGTAATATGTTTATATTTAATTTCAGCTAAGTATGGTTACAATAGACAGGAAGAAGACATTCCAGGTAGGGGTTGTATATTTCAGCCAAATACAACATGTACAAATATAAAGATAAGGAGGTGTGGTATGATTGTCAATGAGACAACTATCCACCAGAGTTCAAATGACATGGATGTAAGCAATCAAAGCTCAATGTGGTCTACAAGTATATTTTAAGTATATTTTATTTTGAATCTATCTTGAAATCATCAATTCGAATTGATGTGTATCTCCATTGTTAATCACATGTTCCATCTACATTACCATTCAAAAGGAACCTGCCAATTTTTACTGCAGTTATTTTTACAGATTTGTTTTTACTTGAGTTGTAGATTACATTTGTTAGTGCTTTCAAATCATTTGAAAATTTTAGTAAAATCTAGCACAAACATGTATTTAGAAAATGATGTTTGTAATCAACAGAATTTTCCATTATATTATCGATATGGAAGAACTTAAAAATACCCCAAAAATTACTTGTAAAATAAACCCAATGTTGCTGTTCATTATAAATTATATATTTACTAATGTCTGTTTTCAGGTGGAAACGATGAATCTGAAGACGAAGCTGAAGATGAAGGTTTGTATATTGTATCCATGGTAACAGAAGAAAAAAATATAGGAAAACATATGATTTTAGGAATATCCCACACCCCTTGTTAATATGTTTTATTTATGAGTTTATGTAAATTGACTTCACATCTTTATATTTGATCATTCATAACAAAAAATCAGTTGCAGTATGATATATTCATCAACAGCATCTAAGAAGTTAGGCGAAACTCATACAATGAAGCACTAAATAGAATTATTTATTAAACATGTATTCTTTTATTTTACAGTAGGGTCAATTGCTCCTCCAGCAGAAATTAGCAAGCCAAAAGAGAATGGAAATGGAGATCACATAGATTCACAAGTGGCAAATTTTCTGGCAGTAAGTTTTTATTCAACAGTATACAAGATTTGTACACATCTGACATGTTGGAAAAATTTGTTTTGTTAAACCTGTGTTTTATACATATGTAATGTAAGAAAGGGCTTGACATGAACAAAAAAATATCTTGGAAAATAAGTTGATTACACTCTTTGTAAAAGAGATATCAATCTAAATTTTCATTATTTAACTCCTTTAGAGTTTTGAGAAAAAGTTTTGAGCTAAAATTAGTAATTTTTAGCTCACCTGACCCAAAGGGTCGATTCCTTTAATATAGTTGTTGTCCTTTAATGATGATTTTTTTACACATTGTTTGCATATTATGCAAGAACTGAAATAGATAATATAAAATGTAAGCAGCAAAAATGATCATCAGGACAAGATCTGTAGGTCAGCATAGACAAAAAAAAAAAAGAAGTAATGGCCCTAAAATGATGGTTTTTACCAATTTTTGCATTTTTGACGAATACTGTAGTAGATAAAGAAAACTATAAACATAAATAAATTATGAGCAAGGCAAGATTTACAAATAATTCACCATTGCCGAAATTGTCAGTAGACAATAACAGTTATTGACCTTAAATGATAATTTTACCCTTTTTTTTTAATGAGTTTGGCCTAGAACTAAAGAAGATCAAGAAAAATTGTAATCAGAAAATATGACCAGCAATACAAGATCTACAAATAAGTAAACAAAGCAGAAATTGTAAGCCTACTTTATAGAAGTTATTTCCCTTGAATGATGATGTTTACCTACTTTGTATATTTTGGGCAAAAAGTTCGAGTGGATATAAGAGAAACAGAAAATGGAAAAAATGATCAGCAATACAAGATAAACAAAAATAATTTGTTCTTGTCTCAAATATTAAAATACACATAGATCCAGGTGAACAACACAAGACTCTTGTGAGCCTCTTGTTCTAATTATAATCTGAAAAATGTAAGCTAGTTTACTCTGTATTATCTTCCAGCAACTTGAACATGAAGACAGTAATGATTCTTCAGACAGACCTGGGTTTACAATGGACCCTGAGGCGGCACCTAGTTTTAAACAGAATCCAGATCAGAAACCTAGTAACACTAAGGATACAGAACCAACCTTTGTTTCTAACAAAGCCAGATCAATGTATAAAAACATGTTTGTGAAGGGAGACTCAGAATTTACAGGGAGATCTGATACGGAGAAAAGTACGACAAAGAAAGAAACAGACGTAGAATGGCCTGATGGTTTGTACTCGCTTCTATACTCAGTTATGGGCTCCCTTCTCCCTTTATAATTTTCCAATAACATCTCTTCCATACTCAGTTATGGGTAACATCTCACTGAGCATATGAAAAGGACTCATAATTAAAAATGAAATTAGAAAATCAGTTGATATTATAGTAGACCAAAATACTGCCTTTGTACCTTATAATAAGGGATGCAAAGGAATGCTTTACCTTTTTGGGTCCTTGCCTCTCTAATTTCTTTTATTAATTGCCTTTTCTCAATTGCGCCACAATAATTTAAGTCAGCAAAAGACTTATGCAATCATCTGCTGCCCACATTACAAATGACATATATCTAATTCATCTTCTTTAGATAAATAGCATGTCTCATTACAGTCTTTTATTTTACAGAGCCGACCACAGTCTGGCAGCAGACATTGGATGACAATACACAATGTTATTACTACTGGAACACAGTTACAAATGAAGTAACGTGGGAAATTCCACCAGGATTTACAAAGTATTTACTGCAGATGAAATCCTATGAAGAAAAAGTAGCGAAGCTTCAAAAGGAAGGCAAAGTTAAACCAGTCAAGAAAGTGTAAGATAAAGAAACACAAATTTCATTATGACCTTTGTGATTGACTGTTTAATTAAACCATTTATATTGTGTATTCATTATTGTAAAGCTCCCCAGAAAAAAATTTTGGATTTCAAAGTCATTGCTTTGCCCATCTACATGTCTAAAACAAATAGTTTCCCTGAGGAAAAATTAGGCTGCCCTTGATTAATTCAAACCACTTATACAGATTGATGACAAAGGGAAAGGAAATAAATTCTATTTATTTAGGGGTGAATAGTTCAAGTTTCAATGTCACTGTTACAAAAAATTGAAGTGTAATTGAAAAAAATTGTTGCCAGAGGATAAATTGAATTATATTTATAGAAGATAGAGTGAAGGGGAAGAACTCTTTGATTTTAATGACATTAGATTAAAGGTCAAGGTCATACATGTAGCTGATAAAAATAGAACTATACAAGTGGTTGATAGTAGGATAAGCAGAAGACTTGATTTTAAGGTCAAGGTCACATTTGCTAAATGTAGCTGCACTAAGTATAAATTCTTCAAAATATTTGTTTCTAGATGATTTTTTTTTATTATAGCTTTCTATTGAATACAGTGAAAAAGAAGCCACAATACCACTACTTGCACATATAATGCCACCCGAGAATAAATAATCTTTTAACATTGACTTTTTTTACAGTGAACCAGAAGCCACAAGACCACTACCAGCACATATAATGCCACCAGAGACTAAATCTCCAGATGTACCAGTCAAAAAAAAAGAGCCAGAGTTAGAATCAAAAGATGACAAAAAATTGGCGGATAGTAAATCATCACCAAAAAGGGCATTATCAGCATTAGCTGCCTATGACGATAGTGATGCTGAGACTTCTGCATCAGAATCTGAAGGAGATGATGATAGAAAGAAGAAAACAAAGAAGAAAGATGAAGATGAAGATATAGATTTGGACCTTGATGATATAGATAAAGCACTAGAAGTCGCTCTAGAAAAGAAAAAGGTAAACAAAAATCATTGATTTCCGTTCAATGTGAATACTTTAAACTCCTATGAAGATACTGTATCAGGTATTGATGCCACTTTGTAGGTACACTTAATAAAAGACAGATGTAATAGCTATTATGATATTCCTGCTGCATATATGATCGTTTTCTGTTTTACCTCTGTCTCTGAACACTACATTGCAACAGTCACAATTTTCTGTAATTTTAAAGCAAGCATCTTCATATTTGATAACTTTCTCTGTTATTAGAACAGTGTGATATATTTACTGTCACTGATATACTTCCTAGCAAATGAATACATGCTTTATTCTACATGTAATACTGATAGGTTTCATAATGAGTGAGAATTGAATATTGCTTTATATTAACTGTGAAAGTCCTTTTATTCGTGGGTATCAATTTTCGTGGTTTGAGCAAAAGTTACATGCTCTTTGGTTCTTAAACAGGCAGATTTTAGTTTTTTCTGAAAAAAATCGAATGAAGAACTAAAAGCCATCAGAAACGAAGATTCTTTGAAAATAATCATATGTTGGTCTATAATGATTTCTGGAACATTGAAAAAAAAAGTATTCATTTTCACTTACTTGTTCGTCTTTCATTACTGACAACATTCATCAAATTTTAATAAAATAATTGCTTTCTGAAATAAGCTGATTCATCTATGCTTACAAATTGTCTCGATTAAAGGAAATTGAAAAGTAAACATTTTGTTGCTCACGTGTAATCAAAAGTTCTGACACTTATTAACCCAAAGTTGAATGATCAACAGGTTAACGATCATCAAAGATGTTAATTGGGCCATAAACATGTCACTTAAAGAAAACAGTTACATGAAAAAATGTTACAAATGTACTTTGAATTGTAGAATTTATTCTTATAAAAAAGAGCAAGCCCAGTATGAAATTTTTTTTTTCATTGAGAATTATAAGGAGATAAAATGAACATTTCATCATCGCATATCATCACCGGAAGTCTGACTTTCATCTTTCAAAACTAATTTTTCATTAGAATTAAAAGGGTTTAGTCGCTCAGTTAAGTTTTTTTATAGATTAGATAGGTAAAATCCTGTCTAATGTTGTATACATGTATATAGTTCATAGCCTGTTTGCTAATATTCAATGTATTCTCTAGACTATATGCCTGTATCCATGTAGTCAAACCTACATGGGGATCTTTCCATGTTTTGATTTGGACAACAGTTGTTAAATTTCGTTGGACACTTAAATTTGTGGATAAAACCATCCATGAAAACCATGAAAATTGGTACCCCAAACAAAAGTGCTTTCACAGTAAATAGTTTCAATACAATATTAAACTAGCCTTTAGCTAGAAATAGATAACAGGCCACAATCATAAGAGAATTTTTAAAAACATAATTGATCCATTTTCTGTGTCAACTTTAAATCATAGTATACAGAATACAAGTATTGTCTCGATATATAATTATAATGAGGTCAGGTCAATCTGAAATGCCTACCTGATACTGAACTTATTCATTGATTGAATGATGTATTATTGTTTGTTTAACATCCTGAACACAATGAATGTACATGTCTACTTGTCACTAGGTCAGATGTGGTTTAAATGTCTACTATGATGAGTTCTTCTAATAGTGAGTTTCAATTCAAAATCATACAATACACTATTCTGTAAAATTTGTATATAACTTTCTTTATTGAACACACTATACCTTCAGCATATTTTGAAAATTTTCATTCTAAATTTTTCCAGACTGGGAAAGATTCCAACAGCCCTGACAAAAAAGATGGCAAGAGTAAAAGTGAACCAAAACCAGCTGCTCCTAAAAAATTAACTTTAATAGATTCAATAAAGGAACAAATCAAATTGAAGCAGGAAACAGAAGCTCGTAGAAAGGCTGCCATTGAAGAAATGATGGCAAGGGAGTTAGAGAGACGTGTTGGACCACCAAGGAAGAGGTCTGGTGAAGAGGAGACTGTGTGGGATGCTAAAAGACCAAAAATTGTTGATTACGGTCACAGTAGGTCAAGGTCACCTGTGACAGAAATAGGTAATACAATTTTTGAAATCATATTTGTTGAGACGCCATTACTGCTTATTTATAATATTAAAGAAAGTAGCATTCTGTAAATTACTGTAAATTCATGTTTTAATTAATGCGACTTGTAGAGTATCGCAATAATAAGATCTCACATTCTAATATCTGATACATATATATGTATGCAGCTTTATATATGTATCACAATAACTAATCTTTTAATTTTGGTTGGTCATTTTTATGGGAAACGGAAAATAAGCTAATAATTCCTTTTCACAAAAATGTCAGTTGTTAACAGCTGAACTATTTTTACTTTAGTGACTTTTGCATATAGTCAAAATTATAATATAATACATTATATTGAAGGTTCAAGATTAGATGATAGAGATTCCAGAAGACGACATGAGAGTCACAGAGAACGTGACAGTGACAGACATAGTCATAAAGAAAAAAAGAAAAAGAAGGATAAAGATAAAGATAAGGAAGATCGTCACCATAGGGATGAAAAAAGAAGGGATCATGATAAACATGAGAAAGAACATAAGGAAAGAAAGAAAGACAAGAAAAAGGATAAAGAAGACAAGAGGAGAGAGAAAGATGAAAGGAAAGAAAAAGAAGATAGGAAAGAAAAAGATGATAGGAAAGAAAAAGATGAGAAAAAAGAACGAGATAGAGAAAGAGACAAGGTGTGTATTATTTATAGTTAAACCTATTGGAAATTAAAGTACATTGTAACTTACTTTGCAGGCCTCTACAATAACTTTTTTTTCAACTTGTCCAGTAGGACAAGTACAACCCAAAACTTACTTGTCCGAATGAAATTGTAACTTGTCCAAAACAAATCTTTATAATAACCTTTTTTGCTTTATAAGTTGATTCAAGGAACAAAATGAATTAAAACAATAGAACAGAATTTTATTTATATCTTTTGAAATACTTTTCAAAAATATGAGTCGAGAACAACTGAATCTAGTCATGTCACAGGGCTTAGGTTCTAGTTTTCATCAATGCCAAAGTCTCATCAGACTCTGCACATGAGGCACCGTCTGATAGGCCTGTCAATGTACACTCATTGGATTTGCATCCTGGTTGTTTAAGTTGAAAAAAGATTATTCAAATGCAATCAATAAAAAAAAGAAGATGATGAGACAACTCTCTGCAAGAGACCAAATGACACAGAAATTAACAACTATAGGTCACCGTATTGCAAGTATTGTTTCTTTCTACATATGATCAAGTATGATTTTGTGAATTTTATGGTAAATAATTTCTTCATTTTTATTTAAAAAATATTTTTGTTAAAAAAATTACCGGTATGGTATTTATTATAAAGCAACAGAATAAGGTGGGAAACCAGGTACTGATTTGTCTTGGTCCCGAATGTCTCCTGCGTTGCCAAACTGTCTATTAATCATATCTATTAAATATGTCTCCTACGGTGCCAAACTGTCTATTAATCATATCTATTAAATATGTCTCCTACGGTGCCAAACTGTCTATTAAACTTAGGAACCGAATCGTTTCCGAGCTGGTGAAGAACTGTCTTGTAAAGTTACCTTTTCTACAAAGCGCATTGCTGATTCGGATCAGTAAAACTGGTTTCCGAGAATAGTATGCCTTTTACCTATTAAAAAGTACCTGACAAATAACCAGTTTAAAATTATCGGTTTGCGAGTAAACATGTCAAATTAATACTCGTTTTTATCTTCTTTTCTTGTTTTTTGTTTATAATTACTTTGTTCATCAAAGTTGGATTAAATTTATTTTCTGCAGAATAATTTTACTTGTCCCATCGGACAAGCTTAATATAGCTTTTACTTGTCCGACCTTTTTTTCCTCTGGTACCGGACAATCAGACAAGCGTTATTGTCGAGGCCTGCTTTGGCAGTTAAACCTATTGGAAATTCAAGTACATTGTAACTTACTTTGGCAGTTAAACCTATTGGAAATTAAAGTACATTGCAACTTACTTTGGCAGTTAAACCTATTGGAAATTAAAGTACATTGTAACTTACTTTGGCAGTTAAACCATTTTGGAAATTAAAGTACATTGTAACTTACTTTGGCAGTTAAACCTATTGGAAATTAAAGTACATTGTAACTTACTTTGGCAATTAAACCTATTGGAAATTAAAGTACATTGTAACTTACTTTGGCAGTTAAACCTATTGGAAATTAAAGTACATTGCAACTTACTTTGGCAGTTAAACCTATTGGAAATTACATTGTAACTTACTTTGGCAGTTAAACCTATTGGAAATTACATTGTAACTTACTTTGGTTGTTAAACCTATTGGAAATTAAAGTACATTGTAAGTTACTTTGGCAATTAAACCTTTTGGAAATTAAAGTACATTGCAACTTACTTTGGCAGTTAAACCTATTGGAAATTACATTGTAACTTACTTTGGTAGTTAAACCTATTGGAAATTAAAGTACATTGTAAGTTACTTTGGCAGTTAAACCTATTGGAAATTAAAGTACAATGTAACTTACTTTGGCAGTTAAACCTATTGGAAATTAAAGAACATTGTAAGTTACTTTGGTAGTTAAACCTATTGGAAATTACATTGTAACTTACTTTGGCAGTTAAACCTATTGGAAATTAAAGTACATTGTAAGTTACTTTGGCAGTTAAACCTATTGGAAATTCAAATACATTGTAAGTTACTTTGGCAGTTAAACCTATTGGAAATTAAAGTACATTGTAACTTACTTTGGCAGTTAAACCTATTGGAAATTAAAGTACATTGTAACTTACTTTGGCAGTTGAACCTATTGGAAATTAAAGTACATTGTAACTTACTTTGGCAGTTAAACCTATTGGAAATTCAAATACATTGTAACTTACTTTGGCAGTTAAATCTATTGGAAATTACATTGTAACTTACTTTGGCAGTTAAACCTATTGGAAATTACATTGTAACTTACTTTGGTTGTTAAACCTATTGGAAATTAAAGTACATTGTAAGTTACTTTGGCAATTAAACCTATTGGAAATTAAAGTACATTGCAACTTACTTTGGCAGTTAAACCTATTGGAAATTACATTGTAACTTACTTTGGTAGTTAAACCTTTTGGAAATTAAAGTACATTGTAAGTTACTTTGGCAGTTAAACCTATTGGAAATTAAAGTACAATGTAACTTACTTTGGCAGTTAAACCTATTGGAAATTAAAGAACATTGTAAGTTACTTTGGTAGTTAAACCTATTGGAAATTACATTGTAAGTTACTTTGGCAGTTAAACCTATTGGAAATTAAAGTACATTGTAAGTTACTTTGGCAGTTAAACCTATTGGAAATTAAAGTACATTGTAAGTTACTTTGGCAGTTAAACCTATTGGAAATTCAAATACATTGTAAGTTACTTTGGCAGTTAAACCTATTGGAAATTAAAGTACATTGTAACTTACTTTGGCAGTTAAACCTATTGGAAATTAAAGTACATTGTAACTTACTTTGGCAGTTGAACCTATTGGAAATTAAAGTACATTGTAACTTACTTTGGCAGTTAAACCTATTGGAAATTCAAATACATTGTAACTTACTTTGGCAGTTAAACCTATTGGAAATTAAAGTACATTGTAACTTACTTTGGCAGTTAAACCTATTGGAAATTAAAGTACATTGTAACTTACTTTGGTAGTTAAACCTATTGGAAATTCAAATACATTGTAACTTACTTTGGTAGTTAAACACTTTCGCAGTTAAACCTATTGGAAATTAAAGTACATTGTAACTTACTTTGGCAGTTAAACCTATTGGAAATTAAAGTACATTGTAACTTACTTTGGCAGTCAAACCCATTGATAATTAAAGTACATTGTAAGTTACTTTGGCAGTTAAACCTATTGGAAATTAAAGTACATTGTAACTTACTTTGGCAGTTAAACCTATTGGAAATTAAAGTACATTGCAACTTACTTTGGCAGTTAAACCTATTGGAAATTACATTGTAACTTACTTTGGCAGTTAAACCTATTGGAAATTACATTGTAACTTACTTTGGTTGTTAAACCTATTGGAAATTAAAGTACATTGTAAGTTACTTTGGCAATTAAGCCTATTGGAAATTAAAGTACATTGCAACTTACTTTGGCAGTAAAACCTATTGGAAATTACATTGTAACTTACTTTGGTAGTTAAACCCATTGGAAATTAAAGTACATTGTAAGTTACTTTGGCAGTTAAACCTATTGGAAATTAAAGTACATTGTAACTTACTTTGGCAGTTGAACCTAATGGAAATTAAAGTACATTGTAACTTACTTTGGCAGTTAAACCTATTGGAAATTACATTGTAACTTACTTTGGCAGTTAAACCTATTGGAAATTACATTGTAACTTACTTTGGCAGTTGAACCTATTGGAAATTAAAGTACATTGTAACTTACTTTGGCAGTTATACCTATTGGAAATTAAAGTACATTGTAAGTTACTTTGGCAGTTAAACCTATTGGAAATTAAAGTACATTGTAACTTACTTTGGTAGTTAAACCTATTGGAAATTCAAATACATTGTAACTTACTTTGGTAGTTAAACACTTTCGCAGTTAAACCTATTGGAAATTAAAGTACATTGTAACTTACTTTGGCAGTTAAACCTATTGGAAATTAAAGTACATTGTAACTTACTTTGGCAGTCAAACCCATTGGAAATTAAAGTACATTGTAACTTACTTTGGCAGTTAAACCTATTGGAAATTACATTGTAACTTACTTTGGCAGTTAAACCTATTGGAAATTACATTGTAACTTACTTTGGCAGTTAAACCTATTGGAAATTAAAGTACATTGCAACTTACTTTGGCAGTTAAACCTATTGGAAATTACATTGTAACTTACTTTGGCAGTTAAACCTATTGGAAATTACATTGTAACTTACTTTGGTAGTTAAACCTATTGGAAATTAAAGTACATTGTAAGTTACTTTGGCAATTATACCTATTGGAAATTAAAGTACATTGTAACTTACTTTGGCAGTTAAACCTATTGGAAATTAAAGTACATTGCAACTTACTTTGGCAGTTAAACCTATTGGAAATTACATTGTAACTTACTTTGGCAGTTAAACCTATTGGAAATTACATTGTAACTTACTTTGGTTGTTAAACCTATTGGAAATTAAAGTACATTGTAAGTTACTTTGGCAATTAAGCCTATTGGAAATTAAAGTACATTGCAACTTACTTTGGCAGTTAAACCTATTGGAAATTACATTGTAACTTACTTTGGTAGTTAAACCCATTGGAAATTAAAGTACATTGTAAGTTACTTTGGCAGTTAAACCTATTGGAAATTAAAGTACATTGTAACTTACTTTGGCAGTTGAACCTATTGGAAATTAAAGTACATTGTAACTTACTTTGGCAGTTAAACCTATTGGAAATTACATTGTAACTTACTTTGGCAGTTAAACCTATTGGAAATTACATTGTAACTTACTTTGGTTGTTAAACCTATTGGAAATTACATTGTAACTTACTTTGGCAGTTAAACCTATTGGAAATTAAAGTACATTGTAAGTTACTTTGGCAGTTAAACCTATTGGAAATTCAAATACATTGTAAGTTACTTTGGCAGTTAAACCTATTGGAAATTAAAGTACATTGTAACTTACTTTGGCAGTTAAACCTATTGGAAATTCAAATACATTGTAACTTACTTTGGCAGTTAAACCTATTGGAAATTAAAGTACATTGTAAGTTACTTTGGCAGTTAGACCTATTGGAAATTAAAGTACATTGTAACTTACTTTGGTAGTTAAACCTATTGGAAATTCAAATACATTGTAACTTACTTTGGTAGTTAAACACTTTCGCAGTTAAACCTATTGGAAATTAAAGTACATTGTAACTTACTTTGGCAGTTAAACCTATTGGAAATTAAAGTACATTGTAACTTACTTTGGCAGTCAAACCCATTGGAAATTAAAGTACATTGTAACTTACTTTGGCAGTTAAACCTATTGGAAATTACATTGTAACTTACTTTGGCAGTTAAACCTATTGGAAATTAAAGTACATTGCAACTTACTTTGGCAGTTAAACCTATTGGAAATTACATTGTAACTTACTTTGGCAGTTAAACCTATTGGAAATTACATTATAACTTACTTTGGTAGTTAAACCTATTCGAAATTAAAGTACATTGTAAGTTACTTTGGCAATTATACCTATTGGAAATTAAAGTACATTGCAACTTACTTTGGCAGTTAAACCTATTGGAAATTAAAGTACATTGTAACTTACTTTGGCAGTTAAACCTATTGGAAATTAAAGTACATTGTAACTTACTTTGGCAGTTGAACCTATTTGAAATTAAAGAACATTGTAACTTACTTTGGCAGTTGAACCTATTGGAAATTAAAGTACATTGTAACTTACTTTGGCAGTTAAACCTATTGGAAATTCTAATACATTGTAACTTACTTTGGCAGTTAAACCTATTGGAAATTAAAGTACATTGTAAGTTACTTTGGCAGTTAAACCTATTGGAAATTAAAGTACATTGTAACTTACTTTGGCAGTTAAACCTATTGGAAATTAAAGTACATTGTTACTACTTTGGCAGTTAAACCTATTTATGCCCCGCCTACGATAGTAAGGGGCATTATGTTTTCTGATTTGTGAGTCCGTCTGATATTCTGTTCATCAGTTATTCTGTTCTTTCGTCCCATATCAGGTTTTACTTTTGGATTAAGTTAGTTAACCAGGAAGTTATGGTCACATCAACTTGAAACTTAGTACACATGGTCATTATCATATAAACTTTTAAAATTATATGTCAGGTTATGGTTTTGACACAGATTTTCCAGATCACTGATCCTTTATAGAAATGTGATAGTGTAAAACCAGAAGATTCTCAGAATACAGTTTTTGGGTTAGTTTACCCTGAAGTTGTGGTCTTTATCAACTTGAAAGATAGTACACTTGTTTATAAATAATGACGTGAACAACTTACATTATATGCCAAATATATGGTTTTTACCCTGAGGTCACAGTTCGCTGAATCTGGAAAATGATAGTGCAAGAGAGCCATCATGTTCTATGGAAGCATAATCTTGTTTCAAAACTGTTATTCTATCTCGAGTGCAAAGCAACTTAAAGCCCTTCTTACATACATAATTATCCATAAGTCTAGGCAGACTATTCATACACTTGTGACTTAACTTTAAAAAACACGTTATAAATTTCATGCGTCCAAAATACTTTTCTGGATTTACCTTCATCAAGAACGCTCAAAGCTGAATATTTGAAAGCCAAGGATGTATAAGAACGGAACAGTTGAAGAGATATATAACCAAAAAAGACCTTAAAAAAATAGCCAAATCCATCTAAGGTCAATTTTGCCTGAGTGTGTTGAATGTGCCCAGAATTTTTTTTGTTTACTTGAAGATCAGTATTTTGTATGGGTTCCAAACACTGGTGTAGGAATTATTTATCATAGAAGATTATACAAAATAATTATTTTGAAGGAAAAAGATAAGGACAGAGAGAGGAAAAAAGACAGACATGAAGAAAAAGAGAAGAAAAGTTCAGAAAAAGATCGTGAAAAATCCGATAAAAGGACAAGTGAGGAAGCAGAACAAACTGAGATCAAATTGAAAGACATAAAAAAAGAAAAAGAAGAAAATTCAGATGAAGGAAAAGGAAAAGATGAAGAAATGATAGAAGTTAAGGTAGAAGTTAAGGAAGAGGTAGAGGAGAAGCCCCCTAAGAAGTCGTTAGATGTAGATATTGATGAAGAGCTAGAGAACATTGTTACTGGTACTATTAAAGCAGATGTTGAATTAGCTAATAAAAAGGTATGGCAATTTAAAAAATGTTTACTGTTTATCAGATGCATCTAAATTAAATATTGAATTCATGAAATAATTATTAAAAAAATGTCCCTGTGCACATTTGTAATGATATTCTTACGGTTTTCTAATCACTCTTAGGTGTTTGGTCCAAACCAGTAACAGATAAAGTAACCTTATTGTCGAGCCTGCGACTTTTGTCGCAGAAGCGAGACATAGCAATCCTACATTCCGTCGGCGTCCACAAATATTCACTCTGTGGTTAAAGTTTTACAAATTTTAATAACTTTCTTATACTATCCTGGATTTCTACCAAACTTGGACAGAAGGTTGTTTATGATCATAAGATTATATTCAAAAGTAAATTTTGTAAAAAAAAAAGTCCTGTTTATCCGTATTTTACTCATATATGGACTTAGTTTTTTTTGCCAGTTAACATAACATTCACTCTGTGGTTAAAGTTTTCAAATTTTAATAACTTTCTTAAACTATCCTGGATTTGTACCACACTTGGACAGAAGCTTGTTTGTGATCATAAGATAGTATTCAAAAGTAAATTTTGTTAAAAAATAATCCTGTTTATCCGTATTTTACTCATAAATGGACTTAGTTTTTTTTGCCAGTTAACATTACATTCACTTTGTGGTTAAAGCTTTCAAAATTTTAATAACTTTCTTAAACTATTCTGGATTTGTACCAAACTTGGACAGAAGCTTGTTTATGATCAAAAGCTAGTATCTAGAAGGAAATTTTGTAAAAATTTATTTCCTGTTTTTCCTTATATTACTTATAAATGGACTTAGTTTTATTCCAGTAAACATTACGTACAGTCTGCAGTTAAAGTTTTTAAACAGTTATCAGATTCATAAACCTTCTTGGATTTTTACCAAACTTGAACAGAACTTCTTACAATCAAAAGATAGTATCTAGAGGAAAATTTTTAATAATTTTTTCCCCATTTTTGTTGAGCCTGCGACTAACAGCAAAAGTAGGCGAGACACTGGGTTCCGCGGAACCCTTACGAATTTTTCTCATTTGAAGGAATGACTATTGTATTTATATACGTGTATGATATCTTGTTTTATGTATGTTTTAGATGCAAGCATCAGAATTAGAAGACTTAATGATATGAATGAATGACTATTGGATGTATATATATGTATCATGTCTTGTTTTGCCCCTGCCGTAGCGTAGGGGGCATTAAGTTTTACCCATGTCTGTCAGTACGTCCTGAAATTGGTTTCCGTTCTCTAACTTTAGTTTTTTCAACCAAATGTTATGAAACTTATACACAATGCTTATTACCACAAAACACCGATCACGTTAGAATTTTGGTGGCATCAATTTTACATTTCTAGAGTTATGCCCCTCTACAAATGGAGAAAAATTTGTTTCCATTCTCTTACTTAAGTTTGCCTCAACCAAATGTTGTGAAACGTATACACAATGCTTATTACCACAAAACACAGATCAAGTTTGAATTTTGGTGGCGTCACTTTTACCATTCTCGAGTTATGCCCTTTACAAATGGAAAAAAAATCATTTCCGTTCTCTTACTTAAGTTTGCGTCAACCAAATGTTATGAAACTTATACACTATTCTTATAACCATAAAACACAGATCACGTTAGAATTTTGGTGGCGTCACTTTTACCATTCTAGAGTTATGCCCCTTTACAAATGGAAAAATTGCTGAATTTTACGTTTCTGTTCTCTAACTTACGAATGCCTCAACCAAATGTTATGAAACGTATACACAGTGCTTATTAATACAACAATACACAGATCAAGTTTGAATTAAGGTCAATTTTACTGTTCTTTATGTCCCTTTATAATAGTGTATGCAAGTGGGGGCATCATCTGTGTTCCATGGACACATTCCACATTTATTTTATGTATGTTTTAGATGCAAGCATCAGAATTAGAAGACTTAATGATATGAATGAATCACTATTGGATTTATATACATATATTATATCATGCTTTCTATTTTTTTTAGATGCAAGCTTCAGAATTAGCAGATTTAGCATTGAGCAAGTTAGAATTTTTAGAAGTAACAAAGAAAGGGCTATCAAAGCTGCAGATTCTCCTAGTAGAATTAGAGGTATATTATAAAGACTTCAGTATCATGAAAGAATAACCATCCTTATCTTATACGACATTAACAAGTTTTAACATTTTTGTTGAACTTTTTTCGTTTAATTTTCCTGTAATATGTCACTGTTTTCATTAATATTTGACCTTTCAAAGAAATGGTGTAAAGTTTGATTCAAATTAGGTCATAATGTAAATGTTAATACATTGCCCATTTAAATTTAATGTGAACTGTGCAAAACAATGTCGGAAATTTTATACAAATAATGATCTTGATGCAAGCTGAGAGCTATTAGAATTAAGCAACAAAATTAGCATAGTAGCTTATTATATAGAACTGCCAGGGATATTCTGGAACTTTTACTTTAAGGCATACATTTGCTTGATTTTGAACCACAGATCAAGATAAAAAAAAAAGAAAAAATATTTATTTACATTTTAACAGACCAGACACCAGGATTGGCAAGCTGGTGGATTGAACACTGAATTTTATCTCATTAAACTAGAGGAAGCAAACTGGCAATTAGAGCAGTACGAAAGAAGTGCAGCGCCACCTGGATGGTCGTGTCATTGGGACAGGTATGGTTTTACTTACGATTTTGTCATCAATGGGTCAGTGTGGACAGTAACCACGGTAACATTCTTGTGTTACAGTGGGATTAAAGTGCTCAAAATGCTTTAGCAGGGAACTATTCTCTCTGCCCAGGCATTATGCAAATTTTGATTTGTTCTTTAGACACAAAACACATTATGAAATTGACAGTGATCATATTCTCATTGGCATTCAGTCATCTCAAATTCATCATATAAAGTTCTGATGGACACATGGTATGGACAAGGTATCTCAGTACATGTGACAAGAAATTGGTTGGATACATGTACATACAATGGTGTCTTGTGATTGGATAGCTAGTGATGATACATTGAATGTCAAAGATTGGAGTCAAGAAGTCACAAGTGAGTGGTGCCAAGAACAATACCAACATTAAAGACGGATGACAAAGTATCATAGAAAATGAGGTTGGCTGTTACCAAGGAAACATAAAATAAGGATAAGTTAATATTCTGTTGGGGTAAGTTTAAATATCTTTTTTTGCATTCAGAGGACAACATTAAACTTGTTAAAGAAATAGATTTTTTATAGTAAATTTGAAAGTTTTTTTCTACAAGTTCTTCAAATTTTCAAGCTATCCATTAATTTTTTTCATTCTGTTAAAAGCTCATTTATGCAGATTTATTTTTAATTTTCTTTATTTTTATGGTAAATGAATAAGAAAAAAAGAAAAATTTCAGTGAGAGATTTGTGATAAGATTAATATTGTATTAATACTGTACTCTATTTCAGTTTGCCAGAAGTAATGTGGTGTAATATTTATTGCTGTTCTTCATCATAACGATTTAATATTTTAGAATGTACATAAAAAATATGACCATTAGAAACTGCACAGAAAAAATACTACATTTGAAACTGCACCAAAAAATACAACATTTGAAACTGCACCAAAAAATACAACATTTGAAACTGCACCACAAAATACAACATTTGAAACTGCACCAAAACAAAACAACATTTGAAACTGCATCAAAACAATACAACATTTGAAACTGTATAGAAAAAAGTTAAACATTTGAAACTGCTATGAAATAATGCAACTTTGAAACTGTACAGATTAAATATTACATTTAGAACTGCAAAAAAAAATACCATCTACATAACAATTTATTATAGAAAATAGAACTAAAAAAGTTCTTTGGAGATAAACAATGTTTTTGGAAATTTCTATTTTACAAAATTCTAAAAAAAAAATGATTTCAGATTAGAAATAAAACCAGTTTTGATATGTGACCTCAAATATTTTCTTTAATGACAATTTTCTTTAAAGAATGTATAAATGAGAAAGCAAATTGTATATTAATTTGAATGAATATATAAATTAAATATTCATGTTTTGAGAAAACCCAAACACTTTCTTGCACTAACCTGAAAGTTTATATTGATAATGCTGAACAAGACTGATACTACACTATATATAAATGCTCTCGCAGAACGATGGTTTCTAAATAATTGATTTTGGCGTTCACAAATAATCACAATCATGTAAAAGTAGATAGCATTTATTTTTTCAAAAAGTATCAAATAACCATGGGTGAATCTTTTGGTGGTGTTATTCATGTGAGATTATAAGAAAGTCACATTTGACAATTTCAACCTTAAGAAATTATGAACTTATCCTCAACTTTGCCTCTCTATTTTCCTAGAAACTTTATACAAGTAGAAGATATGAAGTTGAGTAAGAATTGATACTACACAGATGAAAGTAATTTGAAAATTACAAGATTTTGTATACTTTTAAAAGTTTAGTTCAGAAAGTAAACTTAATAAAATCACATGATCTGAACAAATTTTTTTGACAGAAGGGGAATGTACAATTTTAAGATTGTATATATCTCAAGTAAATTTGATTTAAGTGTTTTTGATGGGACATATAAACATATTAGATTGCAGCATTTTTCGAGAGAAGAATCAGGAGATTGTAGTTTTCTTATTGGTAATTTGAACTCGTTTCTGATATCCTGGTAAAATTAAACCACAAATGGTTGACTCAGTATAGTACAGGTCAGCACAGGTAGATTTGGTCATTTCCTCCTGTCCACATGGGAGTTGCCACAAAGTGGACAATATTTCAGTGTTTCCATCCGTTTGAGTGGACATGCAAATTCTTTTCTTTCATCAAGTGAATTAAAAATATAATTCCTTGGGAATATGTATTAAGCTTTTTTATTCAATATTTTTACAAAACTGGAGTTTTAAATGTAATAGGACAAAGTGACTGCACGATGTTGGCAGGGAGAAATATCAAAATCACCCAAGCTGATATGTATTTATTTATACCAGTATATATTGTATATTTCACAACTATATTTGACCAAAGTTTAGATACACTCCAAACCATTATCAACAGAATTCTTACCAATTTAGTGAAAAATAGTAACTTAAATTTGTTTTTGAATTATTTGGGCTAAGGAATGGTATACTTCTTATGCAGTCTTCAAATTTTTCAATCATATATCTTCCAGCAACAGTCACATTTAGGTTCAGTCTGTGATTAAAAGTTTTTTTTTATGACACCATTAACTTGATCAAACCTTCATAGATACTTATGAAACAAGGTAAAAAGCTTTTTTTGTGATAAAAAATCAATATCCAGTGCAAAAGAAAAAAAATTGAATTTTTCTGTAGTTTTTCTGATAATGGACTTTTTTGCAGTTAACTTTTCAAATCAATAACTTGGTCAACATTTCTGAGGATTTTTATTAAACTTGAAACAGAAGCTTTTTCATAATCAAGAGTTAAAATCTTGAGCAAATTTTGAAAACATATTTTTTTCATTACCCTTTATTTTTTTGGCAGTCAACATGACTGACAGCAGAAATTCCAGGGTTCTTTAGAATCCTCTACAAATACTTTTTTTATTTTATATTGTCAGGTAGGGTTTATATTTCATGAACATATACCTCTTATACTGGAATACATTATGTGATCGAGAAAACATCAGATTCCTAATTTACAATACCGTAAATGTCAAGAGAGAGTAGTGAATATGGTGCAAGATAAACTAAGCAGCATGTTAGGGTTGTTCCAGAATTAAATGCATTGGGGGTTGGGGGAATGGGAGGCACTTTTTTTTACCCCAACAACCGATAAAATAAAATTTTCATTTAACTAATAATTCTTAGAAAATTTTCAATGAAAATGAAACCACCCACAATGAATTAATTTGAGTGCCTCCCATCGCTCCTCCACAATCAATTTTGGATCGGCCCTAACATAAGTTTGGGAATTCAAGGACTTATTTGGTTAACAAGAATTATTAGTGGTTATACTACATGTACTAATTGGGAGGAAGAACAACTTAGGATCAAATCTTGAAATAAACATATCCAGAATGTGTATTGGCAAGCAGTTAATTTTTGTGCTTCTGTGTTGTCAAGGAATGGGAAAATGGTGAGTTCTTTTTCTGAAATTAAGTTAAAATTAGTTACAGTGTTTCATCGATCTTTTTGTCTTTTATTAATCTAGGTCATACAGACGATACTTCTACATGAAAAAGAGGAGTAAACAGACACAGTGGGATTATCCTGATGACGACGATGAGGATGAGGAAGAGGATGTCAGAGATTCATCACCAGACCAGGAACCTACAGTCAACAAGGATCCAGTCAAAACAGTTACCAGTCAAGTCGAAAGTGAAGTTGTGACCTCAACAACCCCAGAACAAGATGAAGTAACTTCCACCAAAGATTCTGTTTCCTCAACAGAGGATAATGTGGTAAAGTTTTTCCTTAGTCATGTTCAAATTTAAATCCCTGTCCTGAAATAATCTCATGAAGATATAAAGAAAGGTATATGATGAAATAACAAGCCTAACCTTCATCAGATTTTAATACATGTTTAAAAAAACAGCATTACTTTCCATATAAGTACACTGCTGAATACGAAACAGGCTATTATTTTCATACATAAAACTTAATGATGAAAATGTATCATACACTTATATCCATTTTCTGTATTCAGAATTCTCCAATTACAGCAAAATTATGTTTGATTTGATGCTGAAATGAGTTGACATTAAGCATGATTTTGGACTTTATTCTGTTTTTGTCATAAATCGTTATTGATATGAGTTGACTGCTTTGCTATGCTTGTTTGTCAATAATGTTATTTTGCCACTAACAGGTCACATCAAAGGTAATATTATACAATTATTGACTTTTGATGAGGTTGATGCAATGATTTATCAGCTACAGAGAGTTGATATTCACTGAGGCCAATGGCCAAGGCTGAATGTCTTATCTATGGGGTTGATAAATCATTGTATCAACTGCTCCTTTTATACTAAATTCATTATCTGCATTGTCAGTTGCTTAACTTTTATAAGTTGAAATATTCAATAAGCTTTTCTTAAAAAATATATCATAAAAAAAAGAGAAGAAAAATGAAAATGTGCATGATGCAATAAGCCTATGTTATTGATGTTGCCTAGGAAATAATATTTATAGGTACACTTTAGCTATTTCATACATTTTTAGCCAATGAGAAAAGAGAATTTTTATAGACATATAATAATTATTTTTATCACCAATTTTAGTTAACCTTTCTTTAAACTACTAAAATTTATTTCACAAAATATAACCAAGTAAGTTAAAACAATTTGTATTTCTAGGAGGAACCTGAGAGCACTGTCCAACAGAGGACTGCTCCTAGAGAATGGCCTGACTATGAGGAAAGGACTGCTCCTAGAGAATGGCCTGACTATGAGGCTGTAACTAATTTTATAAGTGGAACAGAATATAGTGGGGTTATAAGGGGAGAACCACCTCCACCAGGGACAGATTTAGAATTTCTTCTTACAGCCCCTCCCCCTCCCCCTCCTCCTGTGGAGGAAGACATGGAGGAGGAAACTTACTCAACTTATGATGTCCCAGGACCTCCAGAAGGCCACCTCCCATGTACTGATGATATCGACGGTGAAATTATGGAAGATGAAAATGATTTTCAGGTAGATGCAGAAGCATCTGAATGTGGTAGTAACATTGATGTGAAAGAACAATATAATGAAATAGAACCAGTCCCAGTAGACCCCTCTATTATTGCCAGACCCCCTCAGATATTTACAGATAATCCATATCCATCATATTATGATCCAAATACTATAAGTGAACAGTATCAGGAGAGTGGGCAATATTATAGCGAAGGTGGCACTGATATGCCTGTTACTATGGAAACAGCTGCCATTGAAGATGTTGCTTCTTCACAGCTGGAGAAAGAGAGAAAAAAAAAGAAAAAAGAAAAGGTAAAACTTGAGTGATGTTTTGTTAACAAATAAATAAGGATCAGATTGGATCTCTTTTTACTCATAATTATGAATTAGTAAGTTATATAAATAAATTAATTAATTACAGTAAGAACCTGTGATTCAATTGACGTCATTTACACCGATTTACCTCAGATCAACCAGTGTTGCTCATTAATAAAAAAACAACTTGAGATGATTGCGGGAACAATACCATGTAGAATTGTTGGTGGAATGGTAATCATAGTTTAAATTTGGTACAGGCATGTTATACTGAACAAAAACCTATCCAATATATTCTGGACTAAAAGTCTTATAAAGGGACAACAGATTGAATCATCACAATTTTTTATGAAATATAGGAAATACCTTAAATAGGTTTATGTGTACTAAAGGTTAAGGGTTGAACATGTCCAGTCAAGATGAAAGTATTTATCAGCAAATTTAAAGTAAAGTATTTTGATTGTCATTTGACCTACAATGTATTTTTATGCCCCATTTATGGGCATTATATCTTTGGTTCGTCCGTCCATCTGTCACGCTTCAGGTTAAAGTTATTGGTTAAAGTTTTTGGTCAAGTTAGTTTTTGATGAAGTCCAAGTCCAATCAACTTGAAACTTAGTACACATGTTCCCTATGATATGATCTTTCTAATTTTAATGCCAAATTAGAGTTTTGACCCCAATTTCACGGTCCACTGAACATAGAAAATGATAGTGCGAGTGGGGCATCCGTGTACTATGGACACATTCTTGTTTAACAATAACTTTGCTTTTTTACGTTATATGATACAAAATATGGTAGAGCTATAAGTGGGTGTCAAAATCCATGTATGTCAAATCCCTTGGAAATTTATCAGCCAAAATACTGTGGAGACTGACATTGTTGACTGTTTACATGTTAAAATATATTTAATACACACAAAATCCAAGCTACATGTCTGTGTGGATAAATGTGTAATTATCGTTACCTATTTTTATGCCCCCGCCATATGCGACAGGGGCATTAAGTGTTACCCTTGACCGTCTGTCTTTCCATCTGTCCGTCAGTCCAATTTTTATTGCAAAGCTTGAGCGGGGGCATTTGTTTCTTTAGACATATTCATCTTTTATTTGCTTCATTTTATTATTTATGTGTCATACATTTTAATTGATTGTTGCACCAGAACCACTTATTTATTGTAAGGTAATGATTTTATATTTATAAATACACAAAATCTTTTTAGAATATGGTATAATGGGGCCTTTTGTTAGGGTTTGATACATATGTGTATCCTTTCTCAGAAAAGTTTTAAGTGTTAGTCCAGGTCATTTAAAGGGAAATAGAGGTATATCAGAATGGAATACATGATCTTCCAACTGGAGCTTTTTCCTGAAAATATTTTGATGTCACAAAGCAAATATCTATGTCAACAATCAATCAATCAATCAATCTAACACATTTATTGATTTTTCAGCAATCAGGTGGACAATTAAAAAATAAAAATGTATCCAACCTTGTACAGAAGTGGCAAAAAGTGAAGAAAGAGGTAGAGATAGAGGAGCAGGAGAGAGAAGAAAGACAAAATGCTATACGACAAAAACTGGATGAATGGAAAAAAGAACACAGCTGAAAAATGAATATGTCAGGTGAGCTGTTTAAAAAAGGTATAACAAAATGTAACTGGGAGAACACACTGCTCTTGTAAAATAATGTCTCTCATGTTATTCAGAAAGTTCTTTTCAGCATCTTCTCTTTTGACCCTGTCAGTGGTTAATTGAGAATAGGGCAACATGTTTTTAAAAAAAATAAAAACTGGTTTTATGTTCATAACTATTAAAGATATAATGAACTATGAATTTGGTCCTATAAACAATCTGATGGAATTTATGCAAAGCTTCACTACTGAGCATTTGATTCAAATAGAGGACATTCTATTTATGTTTTTTTTTTTGATTGAATTTCCTATGACAGCATAATTGTTGGACTTTTTCAACAGTCTGTTATATTTTTTCGAAGTCTTTTAATGGTTATATTGTAAAACCAGAAATTAATGCATGCATGTATTATTGCAATTTTTGAAGAAGGAACACAAATGTGAGATTAATTATTGTGGTTCTATGAAAATCTACATACAGTTATATGTATCTGATATAAGAATGTGAGTTCTTATTATTGCAAAACTCTCTCAGTGGCATTATTCCCATTAATAAAAACCTTGCAAAAATTTCTGATTTTACAGTATTCAGATCAGCTGAAATTTGCTTATTAAAATTCACATAATAAATAATACTTCCTCAATTTTGTGGAAGTATTGGCAGTCATACAAAATTATTAAGAATGGAATATAATAATAATTATGATTGCCAATGAGACAACTCTCCTACAGAACCCAAATGACATAGAAGTTAACAACTATAGGTCACCGTACTGCCTGTAACAATGAGCAAAACCCATACTGTATAGTAAGCTATAAATAGCCCTGATATGACAAATGTAAAACATTCAAACAAGAAAATTAAATAAAGACTTAATGACCCATTAGGCTAATGCCACGTTCGTACAACCGGCTGGTGATTTATATGTAAAACAATTGATGAAAAACAAATACGATATACAGCAACAAACAACAACCACTGAATTTCAGGCTCCTGACGAGACACACACATACTGAATGTGGCGGGGTTAAACATGTTTGCTGTTGCTAAACTTTTCCCCTAGCCTGGGACAGTGGTGAAACAATACAACATAAGAACAAACTAAAAATCAGTTGAAAAAGGGCTTATCTCATTTAATCAATACAAAACAGAAAAAATCTAACAAAAGACACTAAGTACAGATCTGAGAGTACTTGTAGTTACTGAAAGATAGTTCAAAACCAATAACAACTAATAAAAAATCATGCATCTAAGACTAAGATATATATTTTATATATTTTCAGATGTTGTGATTTCTGTGACAATCTTTGTGATGATGAAGCACATTACAGCATTATGATGTCTGGTGATAGATTAGTATTAAGATGGTGCTTAATAGAGTAGAACAGTGTCACCTACAGAATCTCTCAATGATTTAAGAAAAAAGGAACTTTTATGTACACTAGATCATCAAGACATCAATATGAAATCTATTTTTTTCAACATGGTTGTATATGTTGTAATGAATTTATAGTAAAGATTTTGTAAAATTTTTCCCTCGATAAAAATGTGTATGCTTTTTACTTAATTGAAGTTGTGCCTTTATCAGCTTGCTCATGCCTTTTTTTGTATTAAATAATTATAAAAAAGAGGCAGAATAGTGATATATTTATGTCATGGACTGATTCTGAAATTCAACTTTCATCCTGGAAAGTTCTGTTGCACAGACTCAGAAATCCTTGAAAATGAACCAATCAGAATGTTCAAAATTTCGAAATAGAATTTCCCTTAATGCAGCATTATTTTTGATTGTCAAAACTGCAAGTTAGATGTCTAATTTGTTTTCATATTTATGAAGAATGTTGTTAAAAAATTGTAAAAAGATTTTATAAACCTAAGTAATAGTTGATACAAGATGGAATGAAATTTTTATAATATTAAAGTAACAAGTGGATGTAGTTGTCGTGTAGGTCGGTCATCTACATTGACATTCCCTTTACAATCTTTATAGTGTTAATTATATATAGAACACAGCCTGTATCAATTTAGTGATTGGCCTGAACCCATCCTTCATTGCAATATAGACTTTTTCTGCTGACCCCATGTTTAGCAATCTTCAATCAATCAAACAATGTGAACCCATCATTAGATAAAAGTAAGAAACCAGGCAATGGACATTAATCCTGTTACTAGGTTTATGACTTTGTTATAAATACATGAAATGTATCTTTATAATTTAGTTTATGTGTCACACTATTCATGGTCTTGTTTTCTCATTTCTCTTTAATTTGTGAAAGGAGGGACAGGAGTTAATGCCTATTGATATTTGTCTTGCCTGCAGCAAAATTGTAGATGTGAGATTTAGGCATGATGTTTCCTTGGTTTGTGATGGGGGCTTTAACAAATGTTTAAATTCCAGATAAGGTTAGTTTAGGGGGAACTATTGAGGTTTAGTCAATGATATTTGGTAGACACAGTTGTTTTACCATTGGCACATCTTATTTTCATTGACCCAGAAACTATTGCATATAATTTTACATGTTAGTGGTAAGGTAAATTTACTAATTGTGAGTTAATTGCATTTGGTAATTAGTTGTTCTTCCATTGGTACAACTCATTTCCATCAATATATTACCCCCACCCCCTCAGTCAGGTTATTTTAACTTAAACATTTGCATTATACTATCAAAATAACACATAAGCAAGACATATCTCTGTGTCAACAGTTTATGTTACAGTAAAGTTAAAGAAAATGGGCTATGTCATTACGTATCTAAGAATGTTTTTCGCTGATTGTATGTGCTTTCTATACAAATGTTCGCCTATTTTGAAAGAATTCAATCAGTAATATTTAAAAAAAAAAAGAAGAGAAATTCATTATTATTTGATTTTCAGTTAAAGAACAAAGAGCCAAAGTTGTATGCAAAATTTTATCAAATCTGTGACATAACTCATTTACTGTTTCTTGACCTTAAAGGAATCCTTTTATAGGCTTAAAGTCAACATTGACTTGTATTTCTGTATATGAGGACAGGATTCCAAAATTGTGTTGCTGGAATTAAAAATTCAAGCACCACATCTTCAAATTTCTTTATCTATTCATTGAATTAGATACACAATATTTATTCAGTATTTTATCTGTTTTACATGTCTGAAGTAGTGTTCACTTGTTGAATGAAAGCATAATCTGATTTTAATGAACAGAGATTGTGTTGGAAACCGCCGCCAATTTCATTTCTCAATTTCTTTTAAAAGATACCAGAAAATAATCTGATTTCTGTAGTATAGTACTACTATGAGGAAAAGAGAGATGATTTAAAATTATATACTTGATTTTTTTTGTTAGCTAGACATTGTAAAATCATTTGGATAATCTGAAAGATTGTAAAACAACTTCATTTAATTTGATTTGGAGTTTTTCTAGTTAATTACAATACTGCCATATTTCAATCAAATTAATAGCATAGTGATTTTCGTGTATTTATTATACAATATGTATTAAAATTTTATTTTACTGCAAAATGTAAAAAGCTATATATATACTTTTCTTTATTGTAAGAAAAAGCTTTTATGCAAAGTTATGGCGTTTTGTCATGTTGAATAATTCACTTAGTGAATATCGCTTACAAGTGTGAACATATCTGATGTGAATGTCTGCCTGAAAAATTATTTTGTGCACACAAATATTTTTATGAGAACATTTAAATGACTTTCATTTTGTGTTTACATGATGGACAATGTCATTTGAAGGTTGTGTATATGATTTTTCATTAGATGAAAATAAATGATATTTTTATGTGAAAATTATTACTGAATGTATTTAAAAACTATAAATCATTGTATTCTAAATTTGTCCAAACATTTTTATAAAGATTTTTTCTTGAAAAATTTAAATCATTTAATCAACACTTACAGTGTAAGTTATATGCATGGTTTTAATGTAAAAGTTATTTTATTTTTTCATCTGAATATTAAACTGCAAAGAAAGCACAACTCAAACAGTTTTTTTCAATCACTCTTCTGCATATAAAATGGGTTTTTTTCGTAAGGATTTGAATAAAATAACTCAAGAAACAAAATTTACCGATGTTAAGGATAAAATATATGTACTGAAGTCTTGATTTGTATGCAGGTAAGTATAAAGGGAAGGACCACATTGATTCATTTTACAAGTCATTCATAATCAATGCAACTTAGATATTTGGAATAAAAATATCTTTTGAGCGATGCTGTTCCTATAATCTAAATTTAATGGTTATATTCCAAAGACTAATTTTTGTTTTTGCTGGAAGGTTAAAATTTGAAATCTTAAAGGAATATGTAATCCAAATTTTGAATATAATGTTATGTGAATAAGTCACCAGGAAGTTATAGGATTATACTTTTGGAGGTTTTGATTTAAGGGGTAAAGAAAAGCTTATACATACCTTTGCCTTCAAAAAGAAGTATTTTTTAGATAATATATGAATATTGAACAATAAGGAATTGAGTAAGGATAGAAAAGGTCTTAATTAGAATGTTTTGTCTTGTTAACACAATTTTTTAATAGAAAAACTCATCAAACCTTCAGAATTGAAAAAAAAACGTTTTATTGAGTAGAAATTATATTTTTAATTTCATTGGAGGGGGCATTTAAACAATCTTGCAGACACATTTTAGATCTTTCAGTAAAAACTTTAAATTTAAAACATTTAAAAAGAAAAAAAAAACCAAACCTAACCATCCTTATTGATGGAAAAATCACTTGAGGTAAGTATTGGTACAATTGAATTGTTATTTGACAAAAATGAGAGAAAATCATGATTTATGTTTTGTATACAGCAACTTTGTAAACGAAACAAAACCTATGTGATTTCATTGTAAAAGCTAATTCATTATTAAATATGAAAAACTATGTCTCAACTGCAACTTTTAATGACAACTTTGCCTTAGGTCTTATTGTTGGGTTGTTTTACCCCAGGCATCATAGAGGTGTTGGGATAAAAAGCTGTAGTACTGTCCATTTGTCCAAGGAGAGAGAGCAGAAAAGGAGATAATTCTGATTGTAGAAGTTTTCAGTGAATTAATTCCCCTTGAGAATTTTCTTACTACCCTAATGAATTAAATTTAAACTTTACACACTCATTGAATATTTTCCTCTTTCAGATGTAATATTCACTAAGATATTTATTTTTATGCACTACACAATGATTAACGTTTACACACATTAAGGAAAACTCTTGATTTGATATTAATTGTGCTTGATACTAAATGATTTATATTATGCTTATTGTCATGATTACAAGTTTACAAATCATATTTAATGGAATCAGTTTAATTAATCTCAGCTTATTTAAATTAAAACTTGAAGACAACAATCAAAAATATAATGTACCAAGAACTGTAAGGTTCTACGTTTTTTTTATGCCCCCGCCTTAGGAGGGGGCATCAAGTTTTAACCTTGTCTGTACGCACGTCCGTCCGTCCATACGTATATCCCAAAATTAATTTCTGTTCTCTAACTTTAGTTTGCCTTAACCAAATGTTATGAAACTTATACACAAGGCTTATTACCACAAAACTCAGATCAAGTTTGAATTTTTATGGCGTCACTCTGGATAAATATTGCATGAATGTCAATTTCGTAAGATGTGCATGCGGTATAACAATGGTCCTTCATTAATGGGTATGTCTGTGACAAGGATGAAAATCATCTTAACTTGTAGAGTGTGTATCTATATTTTTCGATTGGTTGTAATATAATAAGGTTAATTTCCAACCATGTTGAACGCATCTATCCCATCGAACCTGAGGTAAAGGATACAACACATACAGTTAAGTTTGCATCATATCTTGACTTACATATAGTAATTGACAATGAGGGTCGGTTGAAAAGAAAACTTTACGCCAAAAGAGATAATTTCAGCTTCCCAATTGAGAACTCCATTTCTATGTAGCAACATTCCAGCAGCGCCTGCATACAGAGTATATATCTCCCAGTTGAGACGATATTCCAGGGCTTGTGTTTCCTATCATGATTTTCTTGATAGAGGGTTGCTGCTCACAAGGAAGCTATTGAACCAAGAGTGCCAAGTGGTGAAGTTGAAATCATCCCTTCATAAATTTTACGGACACCATCACGAGTTGATTCACCGTTATGGAATATCTGTTTCACAGATGACGACAGATATGTTCCAATTGTCGTAACTACAATCTCGTCCCCTTCCCCCGAATGTTACCTACCGAATTAGACATATCAGCGGGTTTGTACTTACATGAGTAACATGACGGGTGCCACGTGTGGAGCAGGATCTACTTACCCTTCCGGAGCACCTGAGATCACCCCCAGTTTTGGTGGGGTTCGTGTTGCTCAGTCTAAGGTTTTCTATAAAATTGAGAATGGAAACGGGGAATGTGTCAAAGAGACAACAACCCGACCAAAGAGCAGAAAACAGACCAAGGCCACCAATGGGTCTTCAACACAGCGAGAAAATCAAGCATCCGGAGGCGGGCTTCAGCTGGCCCCTAAAAAATGTGTACTAGTTCAGCGAAATTGGACGTCACACTAAACTCCGCAACATATAAATGAACCAAAATTTAAAAAAAACCAATACTAACAAAGGCCAAAGGCTCCTGACTTGGTACAGGCGCAAAAATGCGGCGGAGTTAAACGTGTTTTGTGAGATCATAACCCCCCCCCCCTATACCGCTAGCCAATGTAGAATAAACAAACACACAGCAATACGTACAGTAAAACTCAGTTTTAAAGGAAGTCCGAGTCCGATGTTAGAATAGTAACAGAAGAAACAAAGCAAAATGACAATGATATTCAAATTAACAAAGGAATATTAGCAGTTACTAACATGCCAGCTCCAGACGTCAATTAGTCTGATTGAAAGATTGTGTTCATCATATGAAAATCAAGCACAATCCCTTCCTTTAGGGATTTAGTATCATACCATCATAAAATATACGAGAAGAACATAATCCGTATCATGCCAACAACTGGTTTTAGAATAAATGTGTTTATTTCCAATTCAAAGACCCTATGAGTAGATCAATATTAATTCCAAACTAGAGGCTCTAAAGAGCCTGTGTCGCGCACCTTGGTCTTTGTGCATATTCAACAAAGGACACTCTCCAAAATTGTAGACGAGAATAGAATTCATGACAAAAATCTGTTTTGTTGATCTTGTATTACTGAACCTTTAAGTCTGTTTAGTTTCTCTCTATCTTCTCTAGATTTTGCTCAAAACACAAAATAGGGTAAAAAAAAATCCTCATTTAAGGGCAATCACTCCTATAAAGAGTGACAGTCTACTAACTATATCGGCAAAATTTGACTTGTTAGTAGATCTTGACTTGCTGATCATTTTTGTGACTTAAAGTGTCTATTATCTATTATAATTTTTTATCATATATGGCAAAACGAAACAAAATGGTGAAAATCGTTTTAAAAGAGCATTAACTCCAATAAGGAGTCGTCGGACGATTTCCGTCATATTGTCTTAATTGTAGATCTTGTCTTACTGATCATTTATGCCTATTTAAGTTTTTATCTAGTATAATTTTTGAGATATAAGGCAAAAATGCAAAAAATTGGTAAAAATCGTCATCAAAGTGAAATAACTCTCATAAGGAGTCAACCGACGATTTCGACCATGAGACTTATTGGTTGAACTTGTCTTGCTGATCATTTTTGCAATTTAAAGTTTCTCTTTATCTATTATAGTTTTCAAAATAGTAGGCAAAAATTAAAGAAATGATAAAATTTGTCATTTAAGGGCAATAACTCCTATAAGAAGTCGTCTGACAGTTTTGACGTATATAGACAATTGGTAGAGCTCAACATTCTGAACATGTTTGCCCTTGTCAGATTTTCTCTATTTATAACGGTTTTCAAAACAATAGACAACACTTCCATTTTACCCCTATGTTATATTTTTAGCTATGTCGGCCATCTTGGTTGGCAGGCGGAGTCATCAGACACATTTTTAAAACTAGATACCCCAATGATAATTGTGGACAAGTTTGGTTAAATTTGGCCCAGTAGTTTCAGAGGAGAAGATTTTTGTAAAAGATAACGACGATGGACGGTGGACGACGACGGACAACGAACGCATAGTGACGAGAAAAGCTCACTTGGCCCTTCAGGCCAGGTGAGCTAAAAATGCCATCTTTAATGACCTGACAACAGTATCGTAACTATATCCCTTCTGAATAAGTCTGTTTAAAGGTTTGGTTAGCTTTTAAGGTAAATGACGACATTTTTGAGCTTGATATAGAATATTACCATAAAGGTTGGATGTGAAATACCTGAACGTAAAAGATGTCTGCACGTTGATTTATATCTACGAATGGTGTCCTTGTACCAATGATAAAACTTAGAAAATGTTTTGACTAGTTTGTGATATCGAAAACCCTGGTGTAATAATTTCTTCAGTAATGCAGATATTTCGTTCGTTAAAATCAAATACGTTGTTACATACACGAGCGAATCGAACAAGTTTAGATATATAAACACCATAAGATGGTGACAAGGGAACGTCACCATCTAAAAATGGATAACAGTAGGAAATGAAAAATCCTCTCTTTTATCGTACATTTTGGTATTAAGCTTCCCGTTAAAGATATAGATATCAAGATCTAGGAAAAGGCAGTGTTCATTGTTAGTATTAGCTTTATTTAAAATCAGTTCAGCAGGATAAATCTCTTTAGTGTACATACAGAAGTCGTCATTATTGAGAGCCAATATATCATCCAAATATCTAAAAGAGTTTTTTTTGTATCAGATGTTATTTCAATGGGTCTTTGCTGATTTTAGTCATAAATTGTAACTCGTACTAATACAGAAACAGGTCCGCAATAAGTGGTGCACAGTTAGTTCCCATTGGAATTCTGATAAATTGACGATATACAGAATCTCCATAGCACAAAAATGTTATCTAGTAAAAAATCAAGTGCAGTTATCATATCAAAGCAGGTCCAACTAACATAGTTCTTTTGTTTCTTGTTACTAAAAAATGACCTAAAAGAGTTTGAACATATATATTCGCAATCTGACTTTTTAAATGTTAATTTAATTAGTTGTGTGAATTTTTTCTATATGAGATTATGAGGCAAAGTGGTATAAAGGGTAGAAAAATCAAAACTTTGAACAGATTCGAAATCACCAATATGAGCATGCAATTTATCAAGTACTTCCAACGAATTTTTGTAAGGTGTTTTGTGCAGCTTCGGAAGCCAGTACATAGTTGGAACTTTCATGTTATTCGGTTCTGCTGGTAAAGAGGGAGCTTAAAGTTTATGTTTTGTTACAGATGTCCGAAAATGGAATCAGTTGGAATGTTGGTGAATTCGTGATTTCCTTTTGCAGAACCTCAATGTAAAATTTACGTCAAACAATAATGATATTATTGACAGCTTTATCAGCCGGGACAAAACAAATTCCTTGGCGAGTTCTTTTAGCTTATGTTTAATACGAGAAATAGGGCTATTATGGTTGTTGTTAGGAGTAAAATGTTCTTTAAAATGTTAAATACGAATATCAACTATGTTCATTACTGAATTAGAAAAAAGAAGTTTTATCCATTTCGTGCAGTAAGTACGGAGTGAGTCGTGGATGATGTTACGACACTCATTCCAATTAATAATTGACGGGGGACGATTTTTAGGTCCTTTACTGAGGAATGGTTTCAACTCTCGGTCATGGACGATGTTTATGTCTCCTGTTATAATATGGGAACTGGAGTCATAAATGTATTTGGAATTACTGCAATTTCATGACGTAGGTGTATTGTCACTGATGTTAACATCTTTACACACTTCGCTATAATTAAACACATATTTCCGGGTAGATTTTTTGTTAACATAACAAATAAGAGGGAGTTCAGTATTATCAAAATAGCCAGGAAT